TAGCTACCCTCCTGGGAGCTCAGATTTCTCTCAGTGGAGGATATTTTAAGAGACCTAAATCTGGGTGCTGCTCACCCCTTAGATGGCTCTGCAGTCATGGGCAGAGTGACATTCCAAGCATGAATTAATGCTAATTAATGCAAAAACTCCTTTAGGAAAAATGGATCTCACTATAATACAAGAACATTTAAATCAGTGTTATCAAAATGTTGATACATAAATTATCTACATTGGGGGGCCTAGGTGGCTCAGATGGTTAAGCATCCCCTCTTGATCTCTGCTCAGGGCATGATCTCAGGGTCTTGAGATGGAGCCACCTCCCCATCTGCACTCAGCAGGGAGTCTGCTGGTGCTTCTTTCTCATCCTTGCCCCTCCCCCCAAATAAATAAATAAATAAATAAATAAATAAATAAATAAATATTTAAAAAGAAAATATCCATATTGTATTTGGCCTTTCACCAAAACACGTGTTTAGATTTCAGTTCTATCATAAAATTTAAACTTAAGTTCCAACTTAAATGGTTTTATCTTGAGATCAAAACTTGAGCTGAGATCATGAGTTGACCGCTTAACCAACTGAGCTACTCAGGCATCCCTTAAATCATAAGTAATCATTTTTATTTTGCATAGTTTTAAAATGAAAAGAGCAATGTCGATTTTATCCCAGTTCAATTTTCATTAGGTTTGCTTGCATCTAAGCATCTTAGCAAAACCTATTCAAATGTATTCAAAACTTCACAGCTCTGTCTTATGCTCACGGCAAACTCCATTCAGTCCTAGCTTCATTACCTAAAATAGACAAAACCAAATTATTTCATTAAATCTGTTTCCATAAAGAAAGCCAAGAACTGATGGCTCCTTGGGGAAAGGTTATTAGTATTTGCTGGGTAGTTTTCAGTACTCTTAACTCCTGTAAGGCTTACTGCCTAACTTGGGGTGTTGGGGGGGTACCACAGACAGACTGTTTATCTTTTGTCTTTGTCACTTACATGCACTGTCTGAACAGTACAAAAACCTCACTGCCTTGGAAGTGTTAACTGTCTGTTCGTCTGTTTCACCCAGCTTAGTTAATTCAGCAACTAAAAAGCTACTGCTCAGAGTGAAAATTCTAAATATAAAAAATCAAAGTAACACTTAAAGGGAGAGTTGATTCATCCAAATTCTTCTCTCTCCTTAATTTTTTAAAATGTTTTTTAAAGATTTTATTTATTATAGAAAGTATGAGCAGGGGAGGGGCAGAAGGAGATGGGAGAAAGAATCCCAAGCAGACTCTCTGCTGAGTACGGAGCTGGATCTGGAGCACAACACAGGGCTGATCCCAGGGCCCTGAGATCATGACCTGAGCCAAAATCAAGAGTTGGATGCTTAACCAACTGAGCCACCTGGGTGGGCACCCCTTTCTTTCTCTTTTAAAAGAAACATGTAAGTGTTGGGGCCAGGCGGGAAGAGAAACTCCTCAAGATGGCGGATACCCCAAATGGCTGAGGTTCCTGTCACCACCTCCACCTGGGACGCCAATGGACCAATGACCTGCTGACAGCTTGACGCAGACCCTTAGACCTCTCCTTTGGACTTACCCAACCGGACCCAATGCCCTTCAAACCCCAGAGGAGGAAGTCACCTTTGACTGGCCGAACTGCAATCCTTCCTTTGCATAGGGAGGGTCACTCTGACTGGTTGGATTGCAATCCTTCCTTTGCATATGAGCCGACCAATAGGAAACCGTTCTGCCTTACAACGTTATGTAAACCCCCCGCCACCTTGTCTTGGCGCGACTTCCCCGACTCACTCTTCCCCTCCGTGAGTCGTGGAACCTCGCCCGAGGGTGCCTGCAATAAAATCTGTTCTTGGACCCTCGCTTGCCTTGGCGGTCTCATTTCCATTTAGTTACCAAAAAACCTAACAGTAAGTATTATTTGAGGACATTGTTAAAAATCTTATCTTGTTTGTTAGCTTTTTTGAGAGGCCAAATTATGTTGGTCACTATTTATGCTCCTAGGAAGACAATTATCAATCATATATTCAAATGCTGTGAACCAACCATATAAACCCTCTGTGTTAGAGTTCTCCAGAAAAACAGAACCAACAGGACATGTACACATAGAGATTTATTTTGACTCATGCTATTGAGGGGTGACAAGTCCAAAATCTGCAGGGTGGGCTGACTGTCTGGAGACCAAGGAAGAGCTAGTGTTGCAGCTCAAGTCCAAAGGCAATCTGGAGACAGAATTCTCTCCTTCAGGAGAGGTACTATTTTTCCTGTAAGGCCTTCAACTGACTGGATGAGGCCCACCCACATTATGAAAGGTGATCTGCTTTATTCAAAGTCTACTGATGTAAACCTTAACCTCATCTAAAAAACACCTTCACTGCAACACCTAGACTAGTGTTTGACCAATTATCTGGGCACCATGGCCTAGCCAAGTTGACGCAGAATTAATCATCACACTGGCCTCTCACATAGGGTAGAATTTGGGCCTTTGTCTGAGGTTTTACATTTGGCAACCCAAGGGAAGCTGCCTCCAACAGAGGCAAGCCCAGGTCCTCACATCCCTACAAGGTGGCTTGGCCATTTTAGAGATGGGCAAACCAAGTCCTAGCAAACATTTCCACAAACTGGCCACAGGATCCAAACAGGCCTGGGGTAGAGTCAGGACAAAATCCAGTCTCATCAAATGGTAGTTCCCAGCTCTTTCCACCACAACTCTTGGCTCCAGCAGGACCTGAACTCAAGACTCATAGGGGACATTCTCATTGCACTCCCTGTTTGGAATCTTATAGCCAAGTCTGAGCCCATTCAAACCATAAACTCTGAGGGAAGAAAGTCAACTCATTTCCTGGATTTGCCTTCACATTCCCATTCCCAGCGCTCCCACAAGGCAGGGCTCCCCACGTGGCACCCACACATGGACCTTTCCACAGAGGGACTTCTCTTTGAAAAGTGCTTTATTTCAACAAGATCTAAGTTAGGTGCATTAAAACATATCAAAATGTTACAGACATTTATGGCTCCCTACTGGGGCCTTGTCAAATTACGTTATGATACCCAGATGCAACAGTTTGTAAGTTCAGAACCAAACACTGAACCAGGTCAAGTACCATGGATGAAGGCAAGTTATGGTTGAAAAAAGAACACTTCACGAACGTAACACAAGTGGGAAAACCTTGAAGAAATACTAGCAGGAACACACCAGAAGCCATCAGCCTGGGAAGAGGTCTGCAATCCGCTGGGAAGACTCCAAGGGCAAACTGAGATTTGTCCACATCTTGTGCTTGGTTCAAACCAGGGGGTGCTGTAACCTCCTGAGACAGGGTAAATGCTTATCAGTTCCGCCTGCAAGAAGGGGCGCCACATTCATTTGTATCTCTACCTCTTTCTCGGAGATCATTTCTCATCTCATCTGACTCCAGCAAGACTTCATATAAAACAACTTAAGTAGCAACTCAAACACGTGTGCTGCTGCCTCAAGGATGCTGGAGACTTCCTCTACTTATTATTTTAGCCCCCGCATCATGGTTTGGCCACGAGACCCTAAAAATCCCTTGTTCATCTAAAATTTCTCTCTTGGCCTATCTATGGCACCATATTCTCCATGCTATGGAGCTTGGCCTTTTTTTTTTTTCTTGGATGAGAGCTTCTCTTAAGAGAGTCTCTTGCTCTTCTGGGACCCATTGCTCCTGACACTCTGAAACAACCACCCTCACCCTGCAGAAAAGAATTCGTGCCAAGGTGTTTTGCATTTGGGAACAGATTTGTGCTTGTCATTATATTTCAAAATCTTATCTACAATGGTGATAAAATGGCTTTATCTGGGGATCTCCAGGAGAGAGTATTGTTTTCTTTCTGGTAGGGAGGAGGGAAGAGTGCAGATATTTCTCCTTGAAGTCTCAGCCCAAAGCCTCAGTTTCTGGTCCCAGCATTTTTCCCACAGGTGGGTGGCTAATCTGAGCTCCTTTCTCCCCAACCTCATTTGAGGAATTCAATTCCAGCAGCCTGGACCCCAGGACACACATTCCTCTTCAGCCTGCTCTGGCAAGCCTGAAGTCTGTGCTTCTACTCCCTTTGCAAGACAGCCCCCCCCCCCCACCGCCCCCCGCCCCGGTCTTTAACTCATCACCTGCCCACTCATGTGATCACCGAGAATGTGACCTTGTGCTTAATTCCACCATCACCTGGGGGAACAGACCCCCTTCCCAGCCAGATGGACTCAGGCTTTTCCTTCATTTGATCACCTTGTAACACAAGCCCCTAGAAAAAGAAAGCCAGATGTGGCTCTACTGCTTTTTCACAAGTTAGGAAAATAACCCCATAAATTGGCCTTTTGTTCTTCACACAATTTCAGGTTCATCGCACGAAATTACATAAACCCACATAAATCAGTGGAGGAATTCAAAGCTGCCAAGCCATGTGATACCAGTGAGAAAATCCGGCTCCACACCGGGGAGAAGAGTCTCTGTTTCAGCCACTGCTATTTCAAAGGACCTTTCCAAAATTCCTGATCCGGTTATTAGGACGTGAGAAACGATCTCTAAACAGGGTGAGCCACAATGGGAAAGTCCGGCCCGCGTGAAGTGGAATGTATCCTGTCAGATGCGGTTTCCCCTGACTTCTACCCTGACCCCCCACCCCCACCCCCATCTTTAAAAAGCCAGGTCTGCCTTGGAAAGGGCTCTGGCAAACCTGACGTTTTGCAACATTTCCACATTTAACCTCTCATAGTGCTAGTGCAAATCAAAGAGAACTTTTATAAACCAGAAATAGCTGTTCGACAAAAGTTAGCGGTTAGCACATTTGCTTTGTGGAAATGTTTCTGCCTCACCCACCAAGGAGAACCACTGGTGCCAATGCAGGCTTGGAACAGTCAAAATAAAAAGTAGCTGGAAGAGAAGTTTCTTAAGCCATTTTCTCAAATGCAAAACTCAGGAAGTGTGTTTGCATTCACAAACCGGAGCTCTCTCTCCCATCTGTAACAAAGGAAGCCTCTAGCCGCCCCCCACCCCCACCCCAGCCCCCCGGGGTTTTCTCTGCGTGTTGCAGAGCCCTACCAAGGTGTAAGATTGAGACCAGGGCCTCCGGATTTCCAGGCCACGCCCCACAGGGCTGGTGGTGCTGTCCCCAAAGAGGCTGCCTTGCTAAGAGACCCCCGGCAAAATGCCAGGTGGCAGCATGCCATCTTTTGGAAAGTCAACAATAAGATCACAGCTGTGAGCCATCTAAAGAGGCCAGGGAAGCCACAGAGGAGAGCAGAAGTCGGGACGACAGGAACGGCTCTGCGGCAAACATCCACCTTCCTTGCACTCCTTCCGCCAACTGCCCAGCTCCCCAAACCTTTCTTGGAGAGGAAGTGAAGAGATGGGGAGACCCCACCCCAACAAGGCTGAGACACCTGCTGTTAGGAGCTCCCAGCTTTGCTTGGTTTATCTCCACAGCCAGGCCCTCTTCGAAGTCTGTCAGCCACACCGGTGCCTAGCTACCCAGCAGTCTTCCTGATGGGAGCCACAGGGGCCAGACTGCCCCCCCTTCCCCCCATTGGGGTCTGTTCTAAAGATCACCCAGGTGGCTGCCCAGAGAAGCGGAAAGAGAAGCTCCACCCTCCCTATGCACCATTACAGGGCAACCCGAAGAGGTTCCCTGAGCCCCAAGCTCGGTCAGTAGCAAGGTCCTCATGCTTGGAGTCTGTCTCCAGGCACAGGGCAAGGGCAACTTGCAAGAATCTCATGGCTGGAAAGAATAAAGCCTTGACTTCAAACACATGGCCTCAGATCCAAGTGCAGGGAGACCCTTGATGATGAAAAATGGGCTGGCTTCCCAAGATTTGTCATTTCTGCAAGGAACCTCTACGGGTCCCTAAAGATGGAAACTCTGGCCACCACCCCAGGACAAGGCCAGGCCTGGGCCACCAGTTGACCAGGAATAAACCGGTGAGACCCTTCCTTCAACTCAAGGAGGCACCAAAGAGTTGGGGTTGGCTTCCATGGCCTGGGGTTGGCAGGCTGAGCAAAGCAGCAAGCTCCTCCCCGCTCTCCTGGAGGTGGCCATGGAGGTGAGGACAGAGGCAGAATCCACGTGGATCATCATATACGTCTTTGTTATTTAAAACAATCAAAGTTTCCAGTGTAAAAACTTGTGGGCTTATTGCATCTACCCCACAGACGATTTATCTTCCTCTTTCCACCGGACCTCCCCCAAGGGGGTCTATTTCTATGGGACTGCTATTTCATTAATTTCCAATCCCCAAGCCCTCTGCATGTACAGGGGAGTCTCTACCAATACATAAATACCCCAAATGGTGAGCTTGCTGAGACCCCTTCCCTTCTGAACATGTGTGGCCACTCCCGGGTACTTGAGAGAAGAAATCATTTCTCCAACTTCAGCCCCTCAGATTGGCGACTCCCCCATGCTCCTGCCCCCGAGCAGCACACCTGCAAGCCCCGGGGAGCTTGTGCTGGTTGTCTGGAATTCCATTCCATGTGAATCTCAGGTAGGCACGTGGATATGTACCATGTGTGCACACACGCTTACATGTGCACACGTGTGCTCATGTGCATACACACACACATACACACACATTTTCAGTCCTTATAACAAAATTCAAAAGTCCTGTGAGTGAAAGAAAGGAATGGAGCTGGGGATCCAAGGATGGGGAGTTGTCTGCTGGCTTCGCCAGCCGCTCTGGGCAACAGATGGTAGCTCGGCGGGAGCTGGTGAGGTCTGTATCTACACGTTTCCGTGGAAGGAAGGTACCCAGCTTCCTGTGCGTCTGCTCGTGTCAGCGGCGGCCCCCGTGGCATCTGGATCCCCTCCCTTGTGTGGTTCAGATGGTTGCTGGGGTCTCGGCCATCTCCTCCAGCCTCTGCCGGATCATCAGCCGGAGCACGGTGTACCTGGGGACAGACACAGCTGCGGAGGGCAGCAGGGACCAACACACACCCCCACCGCCTGGGTCCCAGGGGCAGCCTGTCGGTCCCTTTGCTTCTATCACCGGCCCAGCCATCAGCCACTTTGTGGCTTGTGTTCATTTCCACACCCCGATGAGGGGAACTGAACAGACCAAATCCAAACCAGGCGATTTGACTATTGCTAGAAATTCTGGCAAAAAAAGGATGGGAGGGCGAAAGAGCAGCACCAACAGGAAGGGTTCCGAGTGCTCACTCTGCCCAAGGCACCACCACAGTAGCACGGGGCCTTCACCTGCGCTGGACCATCTGACATGGCCATCATTTGACCATTCTGAGGGGCCTACAAGAACGGCAGCTTCATATACTTCAAGCTAATACCAGTCCCTGCAGTTTTTACAGAACAGGCCAGAGCGACTACCAGGCATGGGGATCCACGGCTTGATGCGAGTGGGTCCCCACCCCTTCCCTGAACTGAGGGAGTGCAGATGTTGGGTGCCTCCGTGCAGGGCTAACGAGGACATTCCTCATGCCCAGGGCTTTGCCCGGCACGGCAAAAGCTGTCTTTAAAGTTTGGCATGGGGCAGCCTGGGTGGCTCAGTGGTTTAGCGCCGCCTTCAGCCCAGAGCATGATCCTGGAGACCCCGGATCAAGTCTCACGTCAGGCTCCCTGCAGGGAGCCTGCTTCTCCCTCTGCCTGTGTCTCTGCCTCTCTCTCTGTGTGTCTCTCATGAATAATAATAAATAAATAAATAAATAAATAAATAAATCTTTAAAAAATAAAAAATAAAGTTTGGCATGTAGCAAGCATTCAGAAAACGCTAACTGCTTTCCTACAAGCTTGATAGGGCAAATATAGCATTGGCGCTATTCTCCGGTGGCAGAAATTAATCGTTTGTACCGCCACAGCCATGAAAAGCAGTCCACTTTGTGACTAAACGTGGCAAAAAAAAAAAAAATCCTTCCCAGAGAAATGGGGTGAAATAGGTGAAGGGGATTAAGAGGTGCAAACTTCCAGTTGTAAATAAAAAGTCACAGGGATGAAAAGTAGAGCATAGGGAATACAGTCAAAAAATTGTAATCACATTGTAAGGTGACAGATGGGGACTATGCTTATCATGGCGAGCACTGAATAATGTATAGAACTGTTGGATCGCTGTGCCAGACGCCTGAAACAAATATAACACAGTATGTTGACTATACTTCAATCATAATTTTTTTTTAAAATCCTCCGCAGAGAGACACTTTCCTGGACTTTTCAAGCCAAATGTAATTCCCAGAAGAGAAATGTTAAGAAGGGAGAAGGGTAGGAGGAAAGGATTCCAGAGATAGGTTGCTTTGACTACTTTCCACTGCCAAGACAACCTTCCTGAAATCCCTGGAACACTTCACATCCCATATCAAAGTGAGAAGCTGACACAAGAAGCAGAGACCGGAGTGCCTGGGTGGCTCAGACGGTTAAGTGTCTGCCTTTGGCTCAGGTCATGATCCCAGAGGCCTGAGATGAGCCCCACGTTCAGCTCCCTGCTCAGCAGGGAGCCTGATTCTCCCTCTCCTTCTGCCAGCTGCTCCCCCTGCTTGTTCTCTCACTCTCTATCAAATAAATAAAATCTTAAAAAAAAAGAAGAAGAAGAAGAAGCAAAGAAACCAACACCCTTCAGCTTTGTGTCCCCATCTGAGATCTAAATTTGTCATGGGAAGGCCCTGGAAGAAGGACCACAGGACCCAGGCCCACACACAACCACTCAGCACATCCCTACAAGGCACCCGAACAAAGAGCCAGCTCACTGAGGCCCTGGCAGGACCCCAACCAGTTGCCCTGGGGCCACACATACTTGCGCATCAGCTTCTTGACTTCCCGATCTTCTTCCTCTTGGAGCTTCTGAATAAAGCTTTTAAGGACAGGCATCTCGAACTTTATGTACTGGGCCACCTGGAGAGGAAGAAGTGAGTCTGGGGTGCATGCACGCCCCTTCCCAACCTTATTCCAATTCCTTTTGGTGTCTCTCTCGCGAAAGGCACCAAGGCACAGGACACCTGATTTTTGCACTGATCCAGGATTTCTTTAAAGGCAGTAGCCAAGCCTCATTCTTCTCAAGGCTGCAGTCACTCCCTATACATGACACATATCTCCGAACTTCTCATTTCTTGTCCCGTATATCCAATGCACAACAAGGTGATACCAAAAAGGGAAAAGCACTTTCTCTTGAGGCAGTGATGCAGAGGAAGACCCAAACCCACAATATTCAATAAACTTCTCTGTTCTCCCCTAAGAGGATTCAGGGAAGCATGGCTCAGGATGATGGCTTACATCTAGAGTCTCAAGTGTGCATCCAAATGGGAACTTAACTTGGGAGAGGCTGTGGGGGTGAGGGTGGCCCCTAAGTGAGCTGAAGTTAAACAGCCCTCCCTCCTCCTACACAAGAATCCCCACCCTACTCTATCAACTCTTTTCCATGGGAAAGCCTATTAATATTAACCTTCTATGTGACGTGTGACTTGCTTTGGTCAATGGAATGTGCGTGGACATGACATAAGGTACATTTGAGTGGAAGTTTCAGATGAGTTTACAAGGTTTGGCCTGGCTTCTTGCACTCCAGCCAACTGCCATGGGAAGTATACCCTAGGGAGCCACTACCCCTTAGGCCTGGGTCTCTGAATAAGAGACATGCAACACATACCTGAACTCAACCCACAGCCTAGAGCCAAGCTGGGGCTACCAGCCTGCAGCATCCAAAGCAAGAAAGTAAATGTTTGCTGTTGCAAGCAGCTAAGATTTGGGGATGTTTGTTACTATAGCAAGAGCTGGCTAATACATAACATCAGGCAAAATTATTGCAAACAACTTGACATTGCTAGGAGACAATTGCAGAAACTTGTTAGCCCTCTTACAGGACTCTAGAAAGATGGAGGAAGATTGACTATTTCTATGTAAACCATCTGGAGGCTGAGCATTCCTCCAACCACCTCCCTAGGTCATACCCTCAGTCTAGTCTCCGTATCACTCTCCCTGCTTCCTAGCCATTCTTCCTTCAAGCAAACCTGGTATTGCAGAATGGCAGCAAAATGGGGGCATGGCCCTTGGCCAGAAAGTCAAACTATGTGATGCCTGGGTGGCTCAGTGGTTGAGCGTCTGTCTTTGGCTCAGGTGGTGATCCCAGGGTCCTGAGATTGAGTCTCACATCAGGCTCCCTACAGGGAGCCTGCTCATCCCTCTGCCTGTGTCTCTGCCTCTCTCTGTGTGTTTCTCATGAATAAATGAATAAAAGCTTAAAAAAAAAAAAGTCAACCTATACCCTCATTGCAGGTAACCCAACCAAATCACCGCCTTCCTGAGGAGAGACCAACCAAAAGGGGACTCACGTCATAGGTGACTTCCTCCACCTGGTCCTTCTCCATAAGAAACACTTTGGAGACCTGCTCACATGGTCCCTGGAGGATTCGGGCAACCAGAGGGTAATCGGTGTTCTTCAGCTTCTGTTTCTCTGAAACCACACACAGCCAGAACAGCCCTGAGTTTGGCCTGAGGCCTTGCTCACCACTAGTAGTGGCCCACTCAGGGCCCCATATGGCCCAGACACCTTAGAAGATGCGGCCAGGTAAGTCAGGAGACTCAACTGTGAATGGTCAATTCCTGTTCAAAGTAACTGTTCCCTCCCCACTCTCCCTGACAAAACTACCAGGCCCCAAACCCATTGGAAGATGCTGCATCAGAGGAATTGGTTTTATCTTCCTCTTGAGAAAATCTGGTTCCCTTTTAAATAAGCAGTTAGGTTTTAGGCCACATCGGGCATTCCCCAGTGGACTCAGCCAATGATCCCACCAGCCTCAGAGGCAAACAACATTTGGAAGTTTCCAAAAGCCAAACAACAAGCAAGTGAGGCAGAGGTATTGTTTTCCAACTTGCTGTTTGGAGTAAAGTACAAATTGTCAGGTACACTGTGTTTTTCAGACTTACCACCGCTGGTATGCACCACATACAAAGCAAACTCCTCTGCGGAATTCTCGATCTGAATCAGAAACGAGAGATATTGAAGAAAGCACATATTTACACAGCCCATCTGTAAGCCACTCCTTCTTGAACATGCAAAGCTAAATGGATTTTGGGCACTTCTCAGCGGGAGCTCTTTCCAGCTCTCAGAAGTGATGGGAGGGAGGGGGCAGACAGGTAATGTTATCAATAATGGTTGATAAGAAGAACTAACATTTCTTGCACCCTGCAGAGCACCATGCTACACACTTTGCACATGTTAATATAGCTCATGCTCCCGACAGCCCCTGAACAGGGTCCCACTAATCCTTGTTTTACAGAAGATGACACAGAGGCACAGAGAGCTTCAGTAGCTCGCTCAGCTCATCCAATCAGCAGGTGAGGGGTGGGGATTTGAACCCAGAGCCCATGACCGTAGGCCACTAGGTGGCACTGGCCTCAGTGATAAATAGGAGTCTTGTCTCCAAAAGATTTCTGATTAAAGGGACTGTGGAAAACACACAGAGTAATGGGACTTTATTTTATTTTATTTTATTTTTTTAGTAATGGGACTTTAAAAATACTCATGCACTAAAACTTGCACATGTGTTGAAGTTCATTTTTCAGAGTAGGCTCCCCAAAGATGTTTCAGTAATCAGCCTATGCTCAGCGTCCCAAACCAGTCACAAGCCTGGGGGTCTGAGGTCCAGTGCTTCTCAGAATTCAGTGGTACCCAGATCCCCTGCTAGCTACTGAACCCCTGAGACCTTCGAGCTTCAGATTTAGAAGGTCTGACTCTGGGCTAGGGCCTGAGAAGCTGCTTTGCTAACTGGCTCCCATGGGATGCTGATGCCATGGGGTCTGCAGAACCCAAGTCCCTACCCAGGGCCCCCCTTACTGCACATTCTCCACAATCCCCCTTTCCACCTTGGGGACACCCCAGGCCAGCCAGCAGAAGGAACTTGCCTTAAATTTATTGAGGAGCAGCTTCAGGACCTGTGGGGTAGTCATGGTGCTGTTGATGCGGACGTTGGTGACAGAGCCATAGGCTGGCGTGAACACGGATGTCTGTCAATAGAGGGGTCCCACTCAGGGTGGCAGTAGCGACAAGACCTAGGCACTAAAACCCAGGTGTCCCAGCCCCGTAACCTGGGGTAAAGGGCATAGTGACAATGGCACTCACCCCGTGCACCCTGACAGCCTGCCCAACAGTGAGCTTTGATGTCAGTAAGGCAGGCAGCCCTGGGCTTTTCTTAACTCAGGAACTCCCAGTGGGAGGCTGGTGGTCCGAGCTTGGGCAGGGAGGGGGGGGGGTGGAGGGGGAGGAGTCGAACCAGGAAGGAAGGAGGCCCTCTCTCCACACAGAATACACAAAAGGCCCCTTCCACTATGACTTCAACACAAGGTCTCAGACCACTCTCCCATGATGCACTTACTCCTGAGGCTGGATTTAGACCAGGCACTGGGAAGGAAAGAGCAACAGCTGGCTTTGGGTGAGGCAGGTAGTACATGGACACCCCCTGATTTGAGTCCTTCAGCTCTGTTTCAGGGGTAGCCCTTAGCTCACAGAAAATGAGACCACACAGCAGCCGAGATGCACATAGGAAGAGGGTAATGTGTGGATTTTCCAAGGAGGGGGGACAGCTCTGATGTTTGTGAGGTCATCTCACGCACCACCCTAAGGGGGCTCCTGATCTGGGGTCACTCATCCCTCACAGAGCCTGAAGCCCACCCATGACCCAAAGACAGAATGGCAAACACTTGGCTTCCCACATGTCTGTAGCTTTGACGTAACAGCTGCCCAAGAAGAAGCCTTATTCCCTTGGGGCTACCCCTGGCCCCCCGTCCCTCATCCTCTCTACCTTGTGGTTGTAGAAATGGCCATTGATGGAGAAGCGGTGGCGTCTGATTCGCCTTTGGTCACTGGGTGTCCTCACGTTGCCACGGCGACGCACCCCAACATCGCTGCGTGTGCGCATCAGCTGTGGGGTGTCTTCCTGCAGGGGCTTCAGGCCCCTGGAGTCTAAGAAGAAAGGGGAAGATGAGCTCTGTCTGCCTGAACTGGGAATGTGGCAGTTTGCACGCAGTACCCTCTTTATGGCCAGTGCTACAGTACCCGCCATAAAAACAGTATTTCCTGCTGGGAGAAAACATGTGGTATGGTTTACTGAGAAGCAACAGAGCAGAGACTTCAGAGCCAGATTCCCAGGGCCCAATCCCAGCTCCACCATCACCATGTTTCACTAACCCTTCTAATGTCTCAGTTCTCTCATCTATAAAATGGGCATAATTTAAAATAGGCATAATAACAGCACCCCCAGCAGGGAACTGTTGTGAAGGTTTACTGAATTAATTCACGCAAAGCATTTAGAATAGCGCTTGGCACAGGATAAGCATCACATAAGATTTGCAAAATACTGCAGACTGACAGCAAAATTACAAATGCACATTGCCTCAGGCCCAGAAATTCCACTTGAAAGAATCCTATGGACACTGACAAATGTGTGAAATGACACGTGTCCAGAGCCACTAACAGCAACCTGGTTTGTCACAGCAAAAGGCTGAAATGACTCCAACGTCCATCAGTAAGGAGCGAGTCAACTAACAGAAATGGAGATGTGCAAAATGCTACCGCTTATGCAGAAAGGGGAGGAGAAGAAACGACCTCCAACCATAAAGGTATGTTGCTGTGTATTTGCTTGTATCTGTATAGAATATCTTGGAAAGAATTCCTTCAAGCTTTTTCTAGGGAGGGAACCACTATGGTGGGTAGAGGAAAAGTGAGAACTTTCTATTGTTTCTTTGAATAGCCTTTGAATCTTGAACCATTGAATTTTATGTATTCAATTTACAACATCTATATCACATCAGGCTTCATATAGGTGAGCCCAAAGCAGGAGCTCTTCCCACCACACGTACCTGTGGGGCTCGATGTCTGTTCACTCTCGGGCGGGGCATCCACTTCTGAGATCTGAATGTTGGGCATGGTAAGGGGCTTCAGGATGGTGCTGGGGAGACAGGAAACCACAGGGAGGCTGCTCAGCTCCTGCAGGGGAACACTCCCCCTCCTGCAAGCGGAGCACTTTACCTGTGCCGGGCTGTGCCAGGATGGGGACCAGCTCACACCCATGTGGGCGGCCTGTACAGACTGTCGCACGAGGCTGGCCCCGCTCCATGGCTGAGCACTGGATGGGGAGGGGGTATTTTGGAGGAGAAGAGGCTCACTCCCAGCCTCTGCAGCAACACAAGCACCCAATTCATCAAGCCCAGGATGGAGAACGCCGCAGAACAAAATCCGTGTGTTGTCTGCACTGAGTTTCTAAGCACGTACAGGTTCTATAGCTTATTTGGAAAAACCCTGATAATGGGCATTTGTTTCTCTAGGCAAGATTCCAGTTCAGATCCTTTTCTCTCGGAGGAGTAATTCAGGGATTGCTTCTGGCATTTAAAGGGAATGGAAGTAATAGGTTGGCTGCCACGAGGGTCAGGGTAGCATGGGAAGGGCCACTGATGATAACGTTCTTGGGGTTGCCAGATGGGATGCTCAGCCAAGCTGGACCATAAGCAGGCAGTCTGAGTGGAGTCCTAGAATAATTGGTAAATGACACCCTTAGAAGCCAAAATGGATAATGCTAGTAGCTCCTCCAAAATCAACAGAAGATCTGACCAGAAAGGAGAATCGTATTTCACCAATTAGGACCATCCCATAAGGAGAAGACTGTGGGCTCCTTCAGACCCAACAGAGATGGGACTTATGGTCCAGGCATGACAGTTTTAAGGAAAGACAGTGAAAATTGAAAATCTAAAGGAACTTCCCATTGTAGTATAAATCTGGACTTCTGACCCCAGAAGGGAACTGGACAGAGCCGCTTAAGGATTGGTGAACATTTGGTGCTCACAGCGACCACCGCCCCCTTCCCTCACCGAAGTAGAACGTGGTCTCAGCATACTTCTCAACATAGTGGTCTGGGTATTCACTTTATTAGAAAAAGCATCAGAAATAACATCATTTACCCTTCTTGACAAAGTACTGGCAGGCTTCAAGAACCAACCAAGATTAGCTTGAAGTTGCAGGGGAGGGAGAAGAAACAGCATGCAGAGTAAAGGACCCTTTAGCAGGCTCAGCCCAAAATCACACAGTTGAATGGAATTCTAAAAAATCCTTTCACATAGGGGACGCAAGGGAGCACAGTCCAAGCACAGGATATTGCCTGTGGAAAGGGTTTGGCCCACAGGAAATCCAATATAGTGAAAGGGCTGAAATCAAAGCAGAGTATGAACCTAGCAAAGTACATGAAGCCAGAGAACCTTCTTGACCAGGCATCCCAGCGTCTGACAGGTCAGGCAATGACCACCCTCCTAAAATTCCCTGGGAAAGAGAGCAGATGAGCTCTAGGGTTTGGCCACAGCATAGGTTTCTCTCAACTACAGAGGAAGATTGATTTGTCTGCGGAGAATAACAGAATGTTCAGTGTGTCCAGCAGAGAGGGCTTGGTTCTGGTTTAAAACAGAAAACCCAGCACTGTGGTTTTGGCTGAGAGGTCAGGACATCCCACCCACAATCTGGCCTCAGGGCAGCACCAACAAGATTCAGGATGAACCAGCTGGTCACTGGATACCAAGAACTGAAGTCCGTGAAAGCAGTCCCAGGAAAGAGGTCAGGCCTCACTAGCTGCACTTGGCTACTTATGCGGCGGCAGAGGGAGGGGACGAACAGGCTAGGTCTTCACAGACCTTGCAGTGGGAAGGGAGCCTCCCAGACTGCGGACTGTCACACTGCCACCAAGCTCCAAGTGTGGCCTGAGGGAAGCAGCCCCCTGGCTGACCCCATTTGAGTGGTTTGGACCTTTTCTTCTTCCAGATTTCCCCAGGATATGGAGGGCTTTAGGGGCGCCTGGTGGCTCAGTGGTTGAGCATCTGGCTTTGGCTCAGGTCATGATCCTGGGGTCCTGGGATTGAGTCCCAAATCGGGCTCCCCACAGGGAGCCTGCTTCTCCTTCTGCCTGTGTCTCTGCCTCTCTGTGTGTCTATCATAAATAAATAAATAAAACCTTAAAAAAAAAAACCTCCCACTAGAAATATTCAGATGAGGCCTGGTTGGCCACTAGTGATACCCCTGAGAGACTTGGGAATTTTCCATGAGGGAGGACACGCTGCAGCCAGGTCTTGGCGCTTCTCCCCTCTGACTCTCCCCACCATGATTGCAGTGACAGGCATGGTGGCCCAATCACACCCACATCTGCTCCCTCCTCCTCCTCCTAAGCCCAGAACAGGTGCACAGCGCAGGTGGGGAGAATGGGAGCTCGAGTCAAGGCTTGCTGGAAGGAAGTGGCATATACCTGCTCGGGGTCATTTAAGAACAGGACCCCCAAACACTCCCAGTCACCCCCAGTCCCGTCTCTCCTCACTCACCCATGAGCCCCCAAGTTACAGCCAGAGTGCCAGGAGGAAGAGGATGGTGGGGGGCGAATGCGCTCATTGTCATCCTGCATCTGTAGACGGATGGGCCGGCGCAGCCCCCAGGAGATGTTCAGCAGCCCCTCCACAATGAACTCATCTTCCTCCTGCCCACAAAGCAGTCAGCATGGTGAGCCAGCCCAGAAGACCCTGCAGAAGCCAGCACTGTGCTGGGGGACAACTGACAACTCCTGTGACATATCCTGGCTGGGCGCACCCTAGTTATACACACAGCCCAGCTCCCAGATACACCCCATTGCCAACTACCTCGACTGCCCTGAAGACAACCTCACAGGTCAACACAGAAGTTGCTTTGAAAACCAAGTACATGTGTGTAAATTATAAAAATAGGGCTTTTTGGTTTTCTACTTTAAAGGAAGAAAAATACATCTCTTAGAGGAAGGGAGACTAGCCTTGCTAACGGAAACCAGAGCTAAATGCTTGAATTAGCTACCTTCCCCTCCCCTACCACAGAAAGTGGTATGTCTTAAGCTATAACATATGTTTAGCAATCTGACCTGCTGGCTGAAGGAGATTTCAAGTAACATTTCCCCAAGTTTATCCTACAGAATACTAGCTCCTCGAGCAGATCAACTGTTACCTTAAAAAGGGTATCAAGTTGATCATGAATTGGGAGATGATATGTTAATCAGATTTCTTACCAGCACAACTTTCCAGAGCCTTTAATTAGCTAATGTGCTACATTATGGCTCTCCAAGAGGTGAATAAATCCTCCAAGAATTCCAAATTTATACTCAAGGGTTGTTGATTGCTAACAAGTTAAATGTCAGACCCTTCTAAGGGTATCTGCATGTCTTATCTCAAAGAAATGAATCTCATTTATTATAATGAGTCTCTATTTAATCCTAGAGCATTCTGAAAATTTATTCTATAGGACACACGGCAGAAAAGCTGTCCAAGGACCAAAATCTTTCGAATGGCCCAGCCACTCATTAGGAGAAGCTTTAAGGACAATGCCTAAAAGGGTCAGGCCTTCTTTCTCAAGTCTCAGAAAAACCCACAGACGTTAGACCTGGGCCACAGCCACGTCTTCAGGACAGCCGTATGGATCAAGATGACACCTGCCCAATGACTGGGATCCCAGAATTATTCCCAGCAAGGGAGGGGAGAACAAAAGAAGGCAGGAGAGGAGTAGAAGAACTTTCAGGCATGTGGGAATTTTAGGGGGAAAGGCTTTAAGAACAGGTTATATATATATATGGTCTTCTAGGCTGGTTAAGCCTAGCATCACTACTTTTACATCACATAATTTTAGGACAGAATTTGACCCAAAGTAGGACTTTGTCTACGTGGACTGGTTTGAGGGACACAGAGAAAGCCACTGCGTCTCACATACTCTCCCCAACCAGCCTGCCTGAGTAGCTGAAATTCTACCATCTGATATCTGTTTCTATGGATTAAATCACCATGGCTTGATAATGTGAAAATGTGTTTGGAAGGGTATTACACATATCTTATCAGTCTAGAACACTTGAGTATAAATTACCCTACCTGGCTCCTATGTAACTCACCATCTACCTGATAACAGGCTTTATAGAAATGGATATGGGATGAGTAAGTTAGATTCGGGATGGGGGCTGGGGAAAACTGCATAGAGAGTAAAGAGCATCCCAAGAAGGGACCCTCGGAAGACCACTGCTTTGGGGAGGGGCCAAGTGTTTCCACACAGAGCTGACACGACTTGCCCAGTTGCTGCAGCTGTCAGACGTGGGCCCAGAGGTGTAAACACAGAGGCCTGGGTAAGATTCCTGAATTGCCCAAGAAGAAGCCTGTTTGAGAGCCACGGGAGGGGAGGACCCCCTCTGAAGCAGATGCTAGCCCAGCCTCACATCCCCAGGAATGTCTCTGGAACAGAAAAGCTCAACCTCTTTAGAATGAAATGAGCCTAGGATCTCCTTCCAAAGAACTCCAGGGACTCCCGCTAACACCTTAAATGAGGGGCCACTCAGGGGACAGGACAAGCAGGAACCCCTAGACCCTGGAGACATGGACACAGACTGGGCCAGCCTACAGGCCTTCCCCAGGGACTCCTTACCTCACGGTGTCGGAGTTGCAAATTCTGGCCTTCATAGTACAAATTGTAGGTCTTCAGGTGCAGGAGAAGTTCGTTCCTAAGGGGAAAAATACAATAGGTGTAACATTCTCAGCTGAAGCCACTTGTAATGCAGCTGTTCCCTCTTTTCTCACCTTTAACCTGACCTCTCACCCAGCCCGGGTGTCTGCCCACACGTATGTATACACACATGTACACACACACAGCCTCATCTTTCCCCAGGATCCAGGTCAAGAATAGACCCCACCTAGAACAGACTGAGTGTAAGGAACACCTCCAGCAAAGCAAGGCAGGCCGTGCCAGCCGACAAAGGCTGGCAGCTCTGACAACACTCTCCAAACTCAAGCCACATACACAGTCCTCAATAAGGCACAGATTCCTAGAGGCAAACACACTATTAAGTCCACAGACAAGGTTTCTCTGGCCTCGACACTCTTTTCTCTGTCACGGGTGCTGTGAGTCAGATCAGGACAATTGCAGGCTTTCATGAGACTTCTAGGCTTTTCAGAAATTTAAAAGGGACAGGTCTGTCTGGACCTATTGACTTATGCTTCATAGACATGACCTTATGGCATGTTAAAAAACTTACGAATTCAGGCACCTGGGTGGCTCAGTGGTTGAGTGTCTGCCTTTGGCTCAGGTCGTGATCTTGGGGTCCTGGGATCAAGTCCCCCATCGGGCTCCCTACAGGGAGCCTACTTCTTCCTCTATGTCTCTGCCTCTCTCTGTGTGTCTCTCATGAATAAGTAAATAAAATCTTAAAAAAAAAAAACTTCCATCGACAGTGGAGCAGACGAATAAAGGGAGCTGTAGCCACACAATGGAATATTACACAGCAACAAGAATATGAATGAGTGGCACACAACACGTATGACACTCACAGACATTATGTTGAGTAAAAGAAGCCTGAGACCAAAGGCCATGTATTATATGATGTCTTTTATATCAAGTTAAAATGGGTGCTCGAATTCAGGAGAGCAGCTCACCTTGGGAACAGTACCACAAGGGAATATGAGGGGATTCTGGGCCCTGGCAATATGCTGTTCTACGACTTTTTATCTCTTTATTCTATTCTAAGTGCTCTTTCAGTTTACTTAAAAAAAAATTGGGGGGGGGGTTATGCCTGGCTAGTTCAGTGGGAGGGGCATGTGACTCTTGATCTCAGGGTGATGAGTTCAAGCCCCATGTTGGGTGCTTAAATAAATAGACCTTAGAGGCACCTAGGTGGCTCAATCAGTTAAGTATCTGTCTTTGGCTCAGATGTCATGATCTCAGGGTCCTGGGATCGAGCCCCCTATTGGGCTCTCTGCTCAGTGGGAAGCCTGCTTCTCCCTCTTCCTCTGCCTGCCACTCCCCCTGCTTATTCTCTCTCTCTTTCTCTTTCTCTGCCAAATAAGTAAATAAGTAAATCTTTAAAATAAATAAATAAATTTTAAAAAATTTCTTAATTTGCAAATGTCCCTCTGAAGCCTTGTATCAGGTCTCCTTAGCTGTTAAATCCCCTGGTTGCCAGGTGGGGCCTTGGAAACACACCTCTACTGAACAGGAGGGAGCAAGGACTTCCCACCTTTGTGATCAGGAGAAGCCCTCATCAAACCTAAGAAAAAACTGCTCAAGTTTTATCTGAAAGTGCATGCTAGCGCAAGAGAGCCAGGAAATGAGGGCCTTGAAGAGGTCGCCGTGTGCTTTTGCCTATGTTCAGGCAAGAGGCCACAAAGCTTGGTTTCTCTGAATCCAGCCACTCAATGCAGCAATTTGGGGCCACACGAGAGGTCAACGCGGGCTTGAAATTCCAAGAAGCTCCTGACAAGTTAAACCTAGAAGAATCAGAGTAATTCTATGCAAGCCTAAATGAATTAGTGAAAAATGTGACTCCAAATAACCTAACACAAAAGCTGTTTGGTACTTTTGAACACACAGATCTAAAATTACTGGCCAGTGGAGGTCCCCGGGGCAATCCCTCAGGGAAGAGATAGGAACGATCCATAGTTCACACAACTGTGTGTCTGTATATGGCCAAATATGTGTAAAGGAATTAAAACAATTTGGTCTCAGATAAGTTAAACATTCAGTTCAGATAGAGAGCAGTCAGTATGAACAAATCTCTCTTCTGGACATAAAAATATGTCCTCAAACTTATAATTTTAAAACATCCATTTTGGCTCACATTGGCAAAAAATATGAGCTCAAGAGATTTTTAGTGCATATAAAGCAATGAAACTGTCTCCTATTCAGGGGCACCTGTGCCCATTTTAGTCAGGACCCCAGCAGCACAGGGACACAAGTCAGCTGGGACTCCCTCAGAGGACCCCAATAGACAGCACAATGGGCAGCCGCCATTACTTCCTCTTCTTGGAAGTCCTCTAGGACACCATCTCTCTTGAGCCCCCAAAAGTGCTGTGTCTTGAAGGTCTCCTTTATTTGCTGCCCATGGCCAGTCTCTGGGGTCATATTTTTATCTACAACACCAACCCTGCTATGCTTTCACTTGTTCACACTCAGCTGCTTCACTACTTGTCACACACAGAAGCCCCTGTCAGCAGGTACAGAAGAAGCTCCTCTGCCAGGGGCTTCCATCCACGTGGACTGGCCACTGAGGACATAAGACTAAAGTAAAAAATCTTACTTGGAGATGTATTTATCTTGTCCACATGGGACTAGGGAGGTTTGGTGACTATAGTCCATTCTTCTGTTCTCTTTTCATCAGAAAGGGAGACCTATATTTGAAAAAAGACACAGGTCAAAGTCAAGTTGGGTCCTAAGGAACTCAGCAGAACTTGGGCCAGGGGAGGGGACACATGACTCTCTGTTGCCACCCCAGATCCGCAGCTTGGGCTAACCCAGCGTTGGTGAGATATCACACTGCTGGCTGCTGTCTCTGCTTACCACAGCCTCTGGGGGAAAAAACACCCAAAAGAGAGATGACAACCCTTGGACAGCCTCAGAACAAATGCTCCAGTCACAAAGAATATTGACACCCAAGGTGGTCCCAAGGGTGACCAATGAGTCTTCCCTGAAGAGATCTTCACAACACAGAATAGAGATTTGTCTGACTGGGAAGGTTCAAATTTGACTATAGTACACTAAGGATTGGTCAACCACCTAAAAATGCCCAAATAGAGCTGGGCTCAATAAATCAAGCATATACATCTATAATCGCCATTAAAATATAATCATGTTAAAAAGGCAATTTATTACCTGGGAAAATGATAATACATTATGAAAACCATGAGTTCAATTTTGTTTAAAATATATGTAAGCAAAAATATATATATGTAAGTATAAAATATGCATATACATACATTTATATGAATGTATATATATATTCAGATATTCAAATATGTATGTCAGGGTTTCTTAACCTCAGCACTACTGACATTTGGGAGTAAATCATTCTTTGTTGTGGGGGCTGTCCTGTGCATTGGAGGATATTTAGCAGCACCCTGGCCTCTACCCACTAGATGCCAGCAGCACCACCCAGTCATGACGATCAAAAAGGTCTTTGGACATTACCCAGCATCCCCTATGGGCTAAACTGCCCCCAGTTAAGAACCTCGGGCATATGTATATCTGTATATGAATGAATGAAGGATCAGCTTTCTTTGGGTAATAGCATTACCCAAAAGTTTTTTCCAACATTTTATTATGAGAATTTTCAAATGTAAAGATGAAGAATAACACAATGAACAGCCATGTGTGTATGGCTATTCTACCCTTAATGCTTACTATCCTTCTTTATCACACATCCGTCCAGCTCTACACTCCTTTATCTAGTCAACAATCCACCTTTTTTTAAAAGATTTTATTTATTTATTCATGAGAGACAGAGAGAGAGAGAGACAGAGACAGAGACACAGGCTCTGTCTCACACAGAGAGAGGGAGAAGCGGGCTCCATGCAGGGAGCCTGACATGGGACTCGATCATGGGTCTCCAGGATCACAGCCTGGGCTGAAGGTGGCGCTAAACTGCTGAGCCACCGGGGCTGCCCCAATCCACCTTATTTTTTGTGCATTTCAAAATAAATTACACAGAAAAGTTTCATAATTTAAGAAGACTGAAACCATATCAAGTGTCTTCTCTGACCACAATGGTATGAAAGTAGAAATCAACAGTTGGAGGAAAACTGGAAAATCTATGAATATGTGGAAATTGAACAACACACTCCTAAACAACCAATGGTTCAAAAAGAAAATCAAAATTAAAGCAAAAAATATCCGGAAACAAACAAAAATGGAAATACACCAAAAGTTATAAGATACAACAAGAGCAGTTCTAAGAGGGAACTTTTATAGCAATAAATACCCACATTAAGAAAAAAGAAAGATCCCAAATAAACAACTTCAAGGAACTAGAAAAAGAATAAATTAAGCCCTAAATTAGAAGAAGGAAGGAAATAACAAAGATCAGAGCAGAAATAAATGAGGGACCAGGAAAACAATAGAGAGGATAAATGAAACTAAGCTGTTTTTTTTTTAAGATTTTATTTATTTAAATAAATAAAATAAATAAATCATGCCCTAAGCCGAAGGCAGGCGCTAAACCTCTGAGCCACCCAGGGATCCCCTAGCTGGTTTTTAGAAAAGATAAACAAAATTGACAAACCTTTAGCTAGATTAAGAGAAAACGCAAATGAACAAAATTAGACATGAAAAGGAGACATTGTAACTGACACCAGAGAAATAAAAAGGACCTTAAGAGACTACTATGAACAATTATATGCTAACAAATTGGATAACCTAGAAAAATAAGTTCCTAGAAACATATAACCTACCAAGACTGAGTCATCAAGAAAAAGAAAATCTAATAGACCAATAATGAGTAAGGTTGAATTAGTAATCAAAAACCTCGCAGGTTTTGAAAAGCAAAGCAAAGCCCAGGACTAGATGGCTTCAATGGTGAATTCTACCAACCACTAAAGAAGAATCAATACCAGTCCTTCTCAAACACTTTCAAAAAACTGAAGAGGGGGAACATTCCCAAATTCATTTTATGAGGCCAGCGTTGTTCTGATATCCTTATAACCAGGTATCCTTATACTACCAGAAAAGAAAACCACGGGCCAATATACCTGATGAGTGTGAATGTAAAAATTCTCAACAAATCAAATTCAACAGTGCATGAAAAAGATCATATAACATGATCAAGTGGGATTTATCCCTGGGATACAAGGATAGTTCCACACATGCAAATCACAGATGATCACCTCAACAGATGTGGAAAAAGCATTTGACAAAATTCAACATCCTTTCAACAAAAACTCAAACCAGTTAAGTATGGAAGGAATGTACCTTAATCATAACACAGAGCCAGATATGACAAGCCCACAGCTAACATCATACTCAAGGGTGAAAAACAAAACTTTTCTTCTGAGACCAGGAGCAAGACAAGGGTGCCCACTCTCACCACTCCTACTCAACACAGTACTGAAAATCTTTGCCAGAGCAATCAGACAGTAAAAGTAAATAAAAGGCATTCAATTCAAAAAGGAAGAAGTAACATTGTCTCTGTTTGCAATAATATGATCTTATATATAGAAAATCCTAAAGACTTCATGGGGCATCTGGGTGGCTGTCAGTTAAGCATTGACTCTTAATTTTAACTCAGGTCATGATCTCAGGGTTATGTTTAGTGGGGAGTCTGCTTCTCTCCCTCTGTCTCTCCCCTGGCTTGTGCATACTCTCTCTCTCTCTCTCTCTCTCTCTCTCTCTCTCTCTCTCTCCCCACCCCCTCCCTCAACTAAATAAATAAATAAAATTTTTAAAAAATCCTAAGGACTCTACCAAAAAATTGTTAGGCTTAATCAAGGAATTCAGTAAAGGTGCAGCATACAAAATGAGCATGCAAAAATCAGTGTGTTTCTACATACTAACAGCAAAACTGAAAAAGAGATAAAGAGATAAATCCTATTTAAATAGCATCAAAAATAATAAAATAGGATTAATTTTTTAAAGATTTTATTTATTTATTCGTGAGAGACACACATACAGAGAGAGAGAGAGAGAGGCAGAGACACAGGAAGAGGGAGAAGCAGGCTCCATGGAGGGAGCCCGACATGGGACTCAATCCCAGGTCTCCAGGATCAGGCCCTGGGCCGAAGGTGGCACTAAACTGCTTAGCCACCCAGGCTGCCCAAATAGGATTAATTTAACCAAGTTTGTGATAGATCTGTACACTGGAAGTTAAATGACAGTGATGAGAGAAATTGAAAAAAAATACAAATAAATGGAAAGATATCCCATGTTCATGGATCAGAAAACCATTGTTAAAATGTCCATGCTACCCAACGTCATCTCTTGATCAACATAATCCCATAATCAAAATTCCAGTGGCATTTTTCACAGAAACAGAAAAAATAATCCTGAAATTTATATGGAACAACAAAAGAATTCAAATAGCCAAAGCAATCCTGAGAAAGAACAAAGCTGGAGGCATCACACTTCCTGATTACAAACTGTACTACAAAGCTATAGCAACCCCAACAGTATGATGCTGGCACATAGACCAATGGAACAGAATTTAGAGCCCAGAAATAAACCCATGCACATATAATTAATATTTGACAAGAAAGCCAAGAATATTCAATGGGGGAAGAACAGTCTCTTCAATGAATGTTGGAAAAATTGGAAACTCACATGCAAAAGAATGACATTTGACTCTTACCTTATACCAATCACAAAAATTAACTTGCGGGGCACCTGGCTGGCTCAGCTGGTATAGCACATGACTCTTGAGATCATGAGTTAAAGCCCCATGTTGGGTATGCAGCCTACCTTTTTAAAAATTAACTTGAAATGAATTAGACTTAAATGTAAAACCTGAAACTGTAAAACTCTGAAGAAGAAAACAGAACAAGATTTCCTTGGCATTGGTCTTGGCAACAATTTTTTGTATATGACACCCAAATCATGAGCAACAAAAGTAGAAATAAATAAATGGGACTACATAAAACTAAAAAGCTTCTGTACAGCAAAGGAAACAATCAGCAAAATGAAAAGGCAACCTACAGAATGGGAGAAAATATTCACAAACCATATGTCTGATAATGGGTTAATATCCAAATTATATGTGGAACACATAGAACTCCATAGCAAAGGAAACCAAATAATCCAATTAATAAATGGGCAGGGGACCTAAGTAGACACCTTCCCAAAGAAGACATACAAATGATCAACAGGCACATGAAAATATGTTCAATATCAGAATCATTAGGGAAATGCAAGTCAAATCCACAATGAGATATCATCATATTTTTGTTAGAATGGTTAACAATAAAAAGACATGAGATAACAAGTGTCAATAAGGATGTGGGAAGATTGGAACCCTTGTGCACTATTGGTGGGAATGTAAGATGGTGTTTCCACTATGAACAACAGAATGGCAGCTCCTCAAAGAGTTAAAAATAGAAATACCATATGATCTAGCAATTCCACTTCTGGATATGTATCCAAAAGAATTGAAAGTAGGATATTGAAGAGATATTTATACATCCATGTCCATAGTAGCATTAATCACAACAGCCAAAATATAGAAGCCACTCAAGTGTCCATCAACAGATGAATGGAGTAACAATGCATGGTAGACACATCCCATGGAATATTATGCAGCCTTAAAAAAGAAGGGAATTCTGACATGTGCTACAACATGGAAGAACCTTGAGGACATTCTGCTAAGTGAAATCAGCTGGCACCAAAGGACAAATACTGTATGATTCCACTA